CCATGTGTGTGGAGATCTATGGTTCTCGCCTTCATGTGTCAGCCAGTATTAATAGTCAAAGCACTTTAATAATGCATTAACCATCAATTATTAAGTGTGTGAGAGATAGGTGAATGTGGCCTAGCAGCACACCAATATTTGATTTGATCAGAGCAATAGAGTCCGGGGATTTGGAGATAAAGAGACCCACAGACACACACACAGGAACCTTTTGCACAGCGAGAGCTTTAGCTCATCGTTTACTGTGACCTTTTGAGAGCCTTTATTTCCAGATTAACTGTAGGCATTGTTCAAGAGGGGGTTCAGATATGACAAATAGTTTATGATGAAAAACTGTAAGCATATGAATATATATTTTTTTGTCATTTGGTATGAAGAAGCTTTTAAAGTGCCTTGTAAATGAATGTCATATATGAAGGATACATTATCTTCTAGGTATTGTATAATCGCACATGCTTTCATATGAGGGGTCTAAGAAAACGAATGTGTGGATGTGTGTTGAACAGCTGCTCCACGTTCAGATGAAAGGAGAAAAAAACAGGTTTCATAGTCCATCTATGGTTACAGCTGTTTCATGCAGTTTTAAAAGAAACAGAAGACACAGACAGAAAGGAAAGACCATGGCAAAGAGGGTCCTATGTGACTGAACTAAAAGAACACAAAGAGGCAGAGAGAGACTACAGAGAAGATGTATTCATTGAAATCCAATACCCTCAAAGGCATATGGATGATGTCTGTGACAGCACTGCATTGATACATCTCAAACAGGACAGTATTTGTTCATTAAACTGGCTCATATGCTCTGGTGCAACACATTAGATAAGGATTATGAAAAAATCCTTGGATTATGAAGAAATGAAGGAGAAACCATTACACCTATGGAATGTCCCCATAAAACATGGAAACACAACAGTGTGTGTGTGCGTGTGTGACCAAAGATTAAAGTCAATTCTGAGAATTGGTTCTAAACGCATTATAATTGTTACAAATGTATTGCCGAAACACATTACAAAGACTGTGAATTCTGTAGTACTGAATAGTGGAGTTAGACCGTTAAACAGTTTTTCACCAATTCTGTGTTCGGGATTTTTTGGGCGGGGCTAAAATCATGGCCCCTCGCCTAACACTATAATAACTGTCGATGACACACCGGAACAATATGTATGGCTTTGTAAATCCAATTAAGCTGCGTGGAGCATCCATTCAGGCTGTAGTTGCATTTGACAGTTAAGAGGCAGCAGCTTTCTCGCGAGTGGGTGTGGTTTCAGCGCAGACAGCAGACACGCCCCCAGCGTTTGAGAGCAGAGTATACCGCCCATTTTTTCGAGAGAGATTGATAACTTATTTTATGTACTTAGCGGATTTTTTTATCATTCAAATTTGGCTGAGTGGTTAATAATACTTTTTTCTGTGGTGTGACAAACTCAGAACACATACTTAATATTGACTTTACAGGGACTTTAAGACTCGTATAATGCAGCAACGAACTCTGTGTACAGTCTCTGAATCTAAAATACATATTCATTTGACATTTGCATCTTCTGCAAAACAAACCTTATCCCATTCTTATCCCAGAATATCTTTTTTGTTTCATCAGGTTTAGAACGAGGTTGAGTATATGATGAGAAAAAAATCATTTTGGAGGGAACTATTGCTGTTAAACACTGCAAAGCAAACAAAACAAAACTGCATATGTAAATATGTATTTTAGCTATCATTCACATTTAGGTTAGAAGATGCTGTCTTATCCCGGCAGCTTATCAAGATTCCTTTTACTAACAGCTGAAGGCCATTTCACCTGCTACTATCTTGCTTCTAGAAGCTTCACAGCAAGGTTTTTGGGAGGTCTTTGTGTTGTGTACAGCTCCAATGAATGCTTTCAGATGAAGCAGACAGGTGAGCATTTTTTTTAAATTAAATTACCCACAGACAGAATCTGTTTATGGCAATGATTTCCATTTGAAATAAAAGCCTGGGCTTTCTTTTAATTTTTGTTTTTGTAAAATTTTCTTCCATTTACTTGTTTTTTTCCCCTCCATGTTATTCATATTATTTTATGCATGTGTTTATTAGTATGTTTTCATCCATGTGCTTATAAAGCGAACTGATTAGAGCAGCATGACACAGAACGGTCCTATGTAAATTAAGCCATTAGGGATAGCAGTAAAGGCAATTTATCACTAATGTATGTATCTGTTGTAGCTACTTTCAGAACTATATTTTTATCTGTTGATTTATATTAAAATTCATGTCATTTCACAATTTTAGCAAGAATGTGTTAACATTTTGATGTTTCATAATCTTGCTATATTTAATTAATATTTAAAATATAAATCGGTGTCAAATTTATGACAGGTTAACTTGGGCCCAACATGTGTTAAGCTTATGTTTTTTTCCTGGGCAGTAATAGATGCAATGCGCAATGCAATGCCCCATTAACATTGAGTATTGATCTAGCAGATATCATTAGGGTATACAATACTGTACAAGATCATGTGATTCACAGAAGAAAAAAGACATTTACATGGATTATATTGTTATTTGTCATCAAAAGTAACTTACAGGGCAGTTACTGCAGCAACCAGTAGGCTAAGTGCCTCGCTGAAGGACACAATAGGTCATAAAATCATGAATCCTCATGAATACTACTGGGTTTCACATCTGGGCTGCTTGCCGAGCTCATTAAGCTCTACAATACCCCAAAAAGCACTGACCTTTTCTAGTGCAGTGCATGGAGAGATATTCACACATTTCCAAAATATTTAAACAGAAAACATTTCATTGTTAACTCATGCTTGACTCAAATTCGAGTGGCTACACTAGATTTTCCTGAAAATTATTACTATGTGAATCAGATTTCTATGTATATATTTATGTCAACATTTTTCTTCATATCTTTCTTCAAGGACCGGAGAGTGTGTTAAGAATGCGAATGTAAGTGTGGGAATGACAGATACGGTGTATGGAATAGCAAACACAGACTCAAGTACATGTGAGCTGGATTGCTAATATCTCTTGCATGAAAGCACAAGGTAATGTCAGGATGCAGGCTTCATATTTATACCAGCTCTGGGCAACTGGTCAACTGGTCCAAAGCAACATAGCCAATGGTAAAAACGAGGAATTTGTAGGTATCAGATGATGTTGTGAAAATCCTAGAAAGCTGCCTACTGAGAAAGCATTTTAAGGGATAATTGCAAGATGAAAAGTATGCTTATGCTGCCTTCTAAAATATGTTGATTTGGACAAATTTAAAGGCACGTATCCTCGGCAGAGAAGGCAGAAAGCTCAGTAAAAAAAATCCTTCCAAGTTGTTGGACCAGGCGAGAGAATCATACTGCACATTGTAAATAGTCCATTTCATTCATTCGAAAGTAATACATAAAAAAAGTTTAATCCAACTAAAATGGACTATTTCACCCAATTTTGGCGAATTACTATACTATACTATACTATACTATACTATACTTGTATTGTGTTGAGCCTCCTGTCTGCTTTACGTGTTAATAAATTAGCATACTGTTGGGCCTGTACAGTTCATAGTAATATTACATAAATTCCTTGTTTTATTTTGATTGATTGATTGATTGATTGAACCCTTGATGACCCTTGATGTACAGCATGTAGGTCTATCACTTTGAAGGTTCCATTTCAATTAGAATGCTGCCTTAAGATGTGGTCACACATTAGCAAAATTTCTGCATAATTTTGCGGCAAAAAGGTCCATTGTCCAGTGTCAATGGTGTAGCAATCCAAGAACACAGAAGTCACTTTTAAACCAAGCAGCTTTCTATTGGTCAGTGTGATGAATTTGCGTGACCAACTTAAATACAAGTAAAATTTCAACTGAAATGACTGTATTCCGCAGGTGAAAATTGCTGAACAATGGTAAATGTAACTGCTCATTTAGAAGGTAGCTGGCTTACACAGGCAGCTCACTAAGTTTTGGAGCTGAGCTTGTATGTTTGCAGCTTGCATGTCATGTATTGGCAAGCACATTAGAAAAACCATACATCACATCATCATCAACAGCAGCTGAATCTCGCAGATAATATATGCATTAATATGCATAACAAAGGAAGACAATAATGAGAAAATGAAGCCAATGAGCCGAATGTGTGTGTGTGTGTGTGTGTGTGTGTGTGTGTAATGGGGGGAGGGGGATAGTTACTGTTCAGTAGACTTGAAAATTATATGGGAATCCTCCCTCGAAACAATAAGAACTACAGATAGTGGGAGGATGAGATTCGCTGAGCAAGTGAGTGTGTGTGTTAAGGTGGTTTAAAAGAGCGATTATTTAGCTCATTTATAATGTCTGAATTATGTCATAAATTATACAATGATATTAATGGATGGTGTGTGTGCATGTGTGGGCAGTTTTTATTGTATTGGCCTGTCTCAATATCACATAGGAAGCACAACTAATAGTGACAGGTAGGAGGAATTTAAATGGGCTTTGAAATTGCTGTGAAATTGTAATACAGAAGCCATTGAATAAGTCAGCATGACTGACACACAGAAATGTATTTGCACTAGCTGTATAGTGTTACCAATGACCTTTGAGTCTGTATGTAATTGTTTCATTTTGTTTTCAGTTTTCCTCAGTTAGCAGCACATATTTTACCTGAATAATAAAAAAGTGTGATTTTTTTGTGCCACTAGTGACACCAAATAGAATTGCATGGAATCTGTTGCTCTGAGCCGGGTGCCTGGCAGTGTTTAAAACATGTTTGAATGTTTTGAATGTTGGTGCCTTTATTAAATCAAGAATTTTTTTTAATGAAACTAGAACAAATTTCTGCTTAGATTTTTCATAAAATCATTCTTGACTAAATTGTCTCACAATTTAGACCAAAATTCCTTCTGGTTTTGTTTCATCATTGAGCTTGATTGTGTGTGTGTGTGTGTGTGTTTGCATTTTGCAATTGAGATGACTGGCAAAAAATGGCCCAATTATCATAAATGATCTCCTGAACCCTACTGTTTGTGTGTAATCTCACCCAGTATAGCCAGCACAGTGTTGTCCTTAAGCACTTCCATGGAGCCTGAGCAGACAAAGTAGATGGCCTGCAGAGCGTCACCCTGGCGAATGAGGAACTCTCCTGGAGCACAGAAGGAGGTTTTGATAATGAGCGACAGAGAGCGCAGACACCCTCGACTGGCCGACTCAAACAGAGGCAGCTGGAGCAGCTCTTTATTCAGGTGCATAGCAATGTCAGCCCGCAGTTCATCTGGGAAGTCCTTCAAAAGCTGGGAGAGGACAAAGAGATCTTTTATTTGAAGCACTTACTTTTACTTCTCATTCTTGAAAAGCATAAAAACTTTCGATTTACAGTTGACCTTCAAGGAAACAATTGCAGCAAAGAAACTGTAGCTGAGTCTTCTACTTAGACTTTAATGGGAGATGATACTGATATCAAAGCAAAGAGACGGTTATGAGTTATGTAACAAGTGTTTTGAATTGGGCTCTTTAAATACATTGTGAGTGTAAGATGGAATCTCTTGTTTATGAGCAGATCAGAGTTATGGATGAGACAGAGAATGGAAAGAGAAAATAAATCAAATGATAAAAGATAAGAGGGATTATGAAACAGAATGAGCAATAGAAAGAGAGCATGGTGAAGTGAAAAGAGAATAAAAAAGGATAATATGCTTTAATCTTAGACAGATGCATCAAATCACACTAGTGAAATCAAGAAGGCTAATAATAAGCAATGCAGATTGGAATCAACTGTTGTATAGAAAAGGAGCTAAAATTACATAAAATGTAATACTATGCTCATAATATTTTATTACAAGTTTTTTTCAGATTTCCTATATTTTGGCCTGTAAGGCTACGGGTCAATGGGAGATCCAGCATTCTCCATTAAGATGTGTAACATTCGCGTAGAGAAGTGATAAATGCAAAATGCATTATCTGTAAATGTTAAAAACATTTTCTCCTGGAGGTCATGGAATATCGAATCAATTATGAGTTAATACCAAATTATGCCAAGTTAACATGCTACTCTGTACTCAATAATTATGAATTTACTATCAAAATAGGATCAATAGGATTTTGTTGCTTTTTTTTTTTTTGGCCAGAGCAGGTAAAATAGTTTGTTAGATCTTTAATTACATATTATTTATTTTTGCCCATGAAATGAGGTACTTATTAATGAGTGCAAATTCCACAAATACAGCATATTTCGGTGTCATATAACATCAACATTCCTTAAAAATCCAATTTTATATTTAATGAATTCTGTATATTTAATTTTGATGTTTTTTTTAATGTTTAATGCTGGAAAACTGCAGAAAATTGTAAATAAAATTTGTCAAAACTTTGCCAACAGAAAATCGCAAACCCCAATAGAAAAACAGCTGAAAATTAATCAACTCGTACAATAGTTTGACTTCCTGAGCTTGAAGATCATCAACAGATTCTAAATGTTAACTGACCTCTAACTGAAAAAGAGAGAAAAAAAGGTTCACTACTTATGAAATGTGCCACGAATTTAACAAGTTCAACAAGTGTCAGAGCTACTGATCCTTTCAGCATCAAGAAACCAAGAAAACCCAACAAGTGTTCAATGAGTAGATCAGAACAGTAGTTCAGTAAGTCCTACATGACTGCACATACTGTCCACACTTACAGTACAACAGTTTGAGCATGATTGATAAATTGTGAACTTATTTTGATGAAAGTTTAAAAGTACTACCTCGCTGACATCGATGCCATTGTTGACAGACCATGTCGTCTGAAAGCACTCCAGCATGCGCTGCGCGAGGGCCTTGGGCAGTCGATGCACGCGGATGAAGTCTTTGAGGTCTTTGGTACGAGTGTGATAGAGCGAGCGGCGCGAGTACATCCTCTGGATAATGGCCGTCACGTTACCGAAGACCGCGGCATGCATGAGTGCTGGGGAAAGACACATAAAGCAAACATTTCAGGTGACTTAATGAATTTGAACAATGACATTGTTGTGCTGTATGTTTTTTGCAAAAAGTGTTCTTTCAAGTTTTCAACATCATGACAGCACATTAATAAGGAAGTACACTTAAAATGGAATAAATCCGTTTCTTTAAACAAGTTTTTAATATGTTTAATACATACATTTATACCTCCCTATAGACTTTTTAGGCTCAGTGGAGGAAGTGTAACCTCGCTAAAGGTTTGATAAATATGATAAAGGCAAGATTATTATATAAGTATTACATCTGCCTGTATAAACATCTGTATTAACATCCATCTGTCTGATCGCAGGTGGTCAGCCATTTACAGAGAGGAATAGAGCCAGAATGCCATTTACACATGGTGTTAACATGAGTCTCCAGTAATAATTTGTAATCAGTGTTTTATCAGGCTGTTGCTTTAAAAGTCACACCTAGCTAGTAAAATGTAAAACCATTGTTCCGTTGCAATGATGGACAGTCCTTTGATGTTGTACATCAGGATGCATTCGTGTTTATGCCACAAATGCAATATCCAATCTTTGTGATGGCCACTTGTGATCTGATCACCTGAGACAGATTTTAGCAGGAGTTAAGGTTTAGTCATTTGGTGAGAAGGGGATCAGTTTTAACATCTTGCTCCAGCCTATTTTCTTTCTATTGCTATATATCTATTATTCAGTTTTCACTCCACCACCAAACTCTAAATGATCTATTTATTTAACATTGTGAACTTTGCCAACATGAGTGTAAACAATCGAGAAGGATTGGAGAGTACTCATGGAGTGCTAATTGAAGTCTACATAAATTGTTGCGGAAATTGCATGCCGCTCTTCTGTTCAAGAACTGCGCTCAACCCAGGTGCAGCCACTTATGCTATGTGCCTTGGATGAGCTTTTTGATTAACTCCATGAAAATCTTCAAAGTAGGTGAAATAGGGCAAAAGAATTATTAAGAGCTAATAAAACCACCATCAGGTTTCAACCACCTGATTCCAGTAGGAAGGACAAACGATTTCTCTTGCTGAATTGTCTTTCCAAGACAGGAGGAAGATTCTATGGAGACCTTTTCTTAATTCTCGAGTTTCCGTGTGGTCTGTGCAGCCAATATGAACTCAAACATGTCTCATCAAATCATTCCAATACCAAATCATCTGAGCAGTGGTCACTACATGAATTTGATATCTCCTTTCATGATTGGAGGCACTTACTGAAGAGGCACTTCAGAAAAGGCATATTCCACAAATACTGTACACATTGGTATCTTTTAATATCAACATTACTTAAAAATCAAGTGCTATATTTAATACACATTGTATATTTATTTTTTGCTAGAAAATTGTGCACACAATTCTAAATAAAAATGATCAAAACTCGTACAACAGTTTGACCTCCTGAGGTTCAAGATGATTAACAATTTCTACATATTAAGCAACTCTTTCACTGACCATTAGTATTATGTTCTTATTTATTGCATTATGTTTTGAAGCATATACAATGTTACTCTATGTGACCTTGCAAATTGAGAACAAGTGTTTTGAAATGAACTGAATCAAATCAAATCGAACTTTTATTTCTGCTAATTAATTTTAGTTATTCATGTTGTGTACACTATGACAGAATTATCAGTTTTGGGTTAACCATTCCTTTAAATGAAGCATAACCAAGAAGTTAATTAAGTCTAAGCTATGAAAGCGCAGCCTCTGGGAAGTAAACCTTTACTCTGGATTAGGTGGTGGACATTATATTGTACTGTAGTCTGATTAATACAATAAATATGCTCACTCGTTTCACATAATTATGGTAATTTTAGGCATATCAGTGTTCCCCAAATACCCTCTGTGTGTATGATCTCTGTGTGTGGGTAGGAGCCCAACTGTCAGCTGGCTAGGACAGAAATGGCCCTTAGTGGTAGGATTTGGTGACAGATAGATTCAGTGTGCATGTATGTGAGTGTGCATGGATTCAGCCATCCTCATTTGGCCTTCCAAAGTGCAATGAAGCCTGCGTCTCTCTCTTCATGGCCCAGAGGACATGCCTTAAAATTCAATCCACTCTCACACCATCTCCCTGAAACCCACATAGGGCACATGCGGCCGAAAAATCATTACAGCTGTCTCAGCAGATAACAAGCCGCTCCATTTCTGTAGCAGGCGAATCCCGATGTTAGAAGAAGACGGCTAAGAGTGGCCAGCGTAAGCCTCCTTCTAAGAGTTAAACTGGTTAGGATGTATAAAGAATGTAAAAAAAATCCACAAAAATATGCCAACACTAAGGTGTTGAATCATACAAATGAAGACATGCTGAATTCAAACTTTCAAGTCACTCGTTTTAAAATTAAACATGAAAGCAACATGTTGTGAGACATACAGAATGTTGTCCATTATCATAAATTGATAAATGCAGGAATACTGGACAAATATGTACTCAACCAGCACTGCTTCTATAAATATGGTTGAAGATTCTGAGGTAATTAAACTATGGTCAATAAACCTTACCTACCACTGGGAAATGTGTTGAAGATAAAGATAATCAATAAGTAGCAAAGCTTAATGAATAACATGGTCAAAGGAAATGTTGTTGCTCTAAGAATGGAGCCCTGTGGGAAATGTAGATTAAAAGTAAATGAGGTCAGATGGACACACAAACTTAATCGTCACTGCTAAAGACTACTCCAATAAAGCAAATGCACCTCTGTGTCTTATCTTACGAAGAATGCAGTCCTTTGGGAAATTCAAGGAGTCTATAGAAGTTTAGACCTTGGGGAAAATGTACTCATTAGTGCACTTGATGTGGACTTGCGGTCTTCTAGCCATCTTTTGCATGTCTATGTGAAGTCTACATAAATCTAGGGAGTCCATCTATAAATTTAGAGTGAAATGGGTGCTCATGAGTGCCCCCTTTTTTTTAGTTTATCACAACAGTTCATGAAACATTGTCTTGGCCAATCATATGAGAATGCATGGTGAAAAAAAAAACAGGTTTAATGTTGATCACAGTAATTTTTTTAGACTACAGATTATTTATGTGTTCTTGTCTTATTGTTGTGCTTTTATTTTGTGCCTTTGCAATATTTAATCACTTTGTTACTTTGCCAATTACCTGTTGATCATGTATAAAATGTTGTTAAATAAAAAAATAAAAAAACAGAATTAGCTGATTTATGTTTTTCAGTCTGTCCCAAATGTGCACTATTACATATAAACAAACACACCAATTTGTATTGTGGGGTGGTGGAACCATCATAATCTTGAACATTTTAAGTGTTAAATCATCACTGCTTGAGAAGACTAAATTATTTTTCTGAATATTGATGTCTGGTGGGGGTGGGAAAGATAACAAAGGGAACATTTGGATCCCCCCAAGCTAAGAGAAGTTATTAAACCATGTCTTTAACACAACGATTAAGGAAACAAGAGCGGAATTCTACCAGAGGGGCACAAATACACTTGTCCCAGTATACATGACATCCACATCATCTTCAACCTTCAAGATTTAATATTCTTGTTTAGATAGACATTCCTGTTAGATTCCTGTTTCCCAAAATTCTTGCAACAGAATCTTGACATAATTAAAAATTATGGATAATTTTCTTTAAAAATTAAAAATGAATATTAAAAATATATATATTGTTGGATTGAAGATATTACCTAGAATTACTGTTAGCTGATACCTAATTAGCATAGTTATGGATTGTTATTTTTTGATATTTTGTCTATTGTGTGTGTTTCTTTATACATATAATAGTACTCCTAATCCTTTCCACTGGAGTACACAACCGTTTAAAGGTTTGGGGTCTTGAATATTCATCTTTGCCATCGCAGGAATAAATTACATTTTAATATATATGCAAATATAAAATTTACTTTAAATTGTAATAATATTTCACAATATTTTTAAATGCAGCCTTGGTGAGCATAAAAGACAACTTTCAAGAACATTAAAAAAATCTTACACTTTTAAACAATAGTGTATATAGATATTTTAAACTGATCAAGAAAAAAGAACACTCGAAAAAATCAATTATCAATGTTTAGAAATCCAATATGTACATCCTTGTAGTAAAGCAATATAAATCCAAAACTCAAAATCATTTAAAAATGTGTGACTTGCACTTACCTCCAATCAGCATGGTGCAGATAGAGAAGATCTTCTCTGAGTCAGTATTAGCTGAGACATTGCCAAAGCCCACGCTGGTCAGACTGCTTAAAGCGAAGTACAGTGATGTCACATATGAACTCCGAATCGAGGGCCCGCCTCCCAGTACGGCTCCAGTTTGTCCTGCGTTTGAAGTGCCCACTGGTCCCGCTCCTGTTGTGTTCCATTGGCTCGAGTTCCACACAGACTCATGTCCCACCAGATCAGTGCCGTTCCACTGGCTTGAATTGACCACCAATCTATCCAAGATGGTGGGGCGCAGTGAATCAGGAATGAGGGATGCAAGAGGGGACAGTAAATAGGGGGTGCCCAGACGTTTACCCAGCTCATGCAACCAGCCTACGAGAAATGAAGAAAATGTAACATTTACTCATTTGTCATATGTTTTGACCTGATAAATTGTCTAGAATGTTCATAATTTGTCATAATGTAGGTTTGGTGATTGTTCTAACAATCCATTTCTTTTTTTCATTTGTGTTTGGCAATATAACTACCCAAAATGCAGTGAGGTTGTCACTCCAAAAACTTTTTCAGTGAGTACATGGCCACTGTCCAGGGTTCTTAGGTCACTGTCAGAACTGAGCAGATACAGAGCGACTGTCCCTGTCCATGGTGCTGAATCGGAAGCATTTTGAACATCAGTTGGTTTGCAGTAGACTGAACTTTCCTCTGGAGACTCTACTTTTCTTCCCTGTGTCACTGGTTCTATACATTTTCTTTCTCTTTCTCTCTCTTCTCTCCCTGCTTGTTTGTCTATAAGTGTCTAGTTTGGAGGTAGTACAGGTACCATATATGGCATTAGAAGTAATATTTTTGAGAGAACCAGAAAAACTGACAAGGAGACCAAAAAGAAGGTCAGAAAGGGAATGAGAATGAGAGAAACTCTTGCTAGCAGTTGTCAGGGAAGGTTTGATGCACAATCACACATGACAAAACCTCCTTCACAAATACACAAACAAACACTCACTTTTCTCATTTACACAGCGACCAGCTTCAGTTTACATGACCTTTCTCGTGCATACATACACCAGAAACCTGGGTCATTCTTTTCCTGACATAAAAACTTATCCAAAGTCTTCCCTTTGTTGTATGTAATGTGTCTTCATGTGCTAATAGGCAGAAAAGTGTCCTTCATATGTGCTGGACACTTTATTTGGCTGCTATAGATATCTGATTTCTAACAATCCCTTCCAAAGTTCCTCATATTAGTATGTGCTGATTTGTTCTTATATCTATATACCTTTTTTCCTCTTTGTGCTCTGGTTTGTGTCTACTGTGTTTTAAGATAAATATTTCCATGGCTTTGTTCAGATCAAGGATTGTTATGGAGAAGTATGCAGCTCCATTTCCCACTCACTTTCACTTTTGCTTTCTAAAATCACTTATAAAATCACTGGTTGACCAGGTAAAAGAGTATATAAAATGACTACAACTACCAGTAGTAAGTAATAATGCATTAACATATTTACATTGAGAAAGATTTGATAATAATATTGAGTCAGAGTGTTATAATTGCCCCCATTACACAAATGGTATTAACCCACTGTATCTGAAACGAGAGCACACCTCAAAGTAATAATATAATTGCTTTAATACTTAATAATACTACACAATAGTTTTCCCTTTTATATGGTGATAATGGTTTTAGCTAGCAGGAATAATGTGCATTTAACAGACCTACATTGTGAAGATTTTAAATAACTACATTTTATCTTCAACTATTTTATTGTAATGAAATATTGATCCTCACACATTTTCAAGATTACATTTTTCAGGTTTTAAATGTTAAAATTGCCCCAAACTCACAGCCATGATTAAATCCTGTATAGTAGCTGCACTCACATTAACATTTAACCAACAACTTAGAGACAAAATATATATTATTTACATTCAAAGGCATCAAAACTTAATATTTGCATGTGTGTGTGAAAGCTGTGGATGTCTGGACTGGCTGAGTGAAGCTGGTATGTATTAGTGAGAGTGTTTTCTCCAGACACCACTGAGATTTATGCAAGCTTTTCTGTCACATTATTTGTGTAGAATAAAAAAAAAATATGTTTTTGACAATTCAATTGCACTTGATGACAAAGTGCATAATTATTTGTGAAAAACAGCCATCAACCAGTGCTTGACAAGCTTACAGTCTCTACAATGAATAGAACAAATGTAAATGTAATACTAGCAAAGAGCACTGCCGAAGATTAATTTATACCAGTAATGCTCTGATGGAACAGCCTTGAGAAACATATACTTTACAAATCCTGCTGTTTATTTAGGATGAAAATATGAATAGAAAGTGAATGATGAATGGAAAAATGGTGTCTCAAACCACAAAGGTTACTTTGGGTTGTAAATCACCGCAGGAGGAAAAAGGGACAAGTACACAAGAAAAATACATTTGAATATCTAATATACCTAATGTAAGTATATGTTTGATACGGTTGTGAGGCGCACATTATTTATTCATGGCATGAGAAGGGAGCCAAAGAGAAGCCCATGGGTAATGACATATATGACAAAAAGCAAAGATAGCTCTTTGAGCAGTGAGAAAAGACAAGTAGAAAGGGAATGGATTTCTTCAAGATAGTGTTAGCTTGGGTTAGGGGTTAAATAAAGGGGGTTGTACATGATACTCAAGCAGGAATGTAGGAGTCAGTGTTGGATGAGGAAGGTAAGGGAGACTGATGTGCAAGAAGAGGATATTAAAATGCATGTAATGATAAGACCAAAAGGATAATATATTTCTAGCAGTGAGGGATCTCTGTTCTCTTCCAAACCACTTGAGAAAGAATCAAGAGTTTTGACTGATTTGACAGTATGATTTTTGGAGCCAAATTGAAAATCCTCTCTAGTCTCTCAAGGTCTGCTGGGCAGCTAGCCATTAAAAAGAACAGTGTTCTGCTGAAGTGAGGCCAATGAAGTGAGCGATATGGAGAAAAAAAATGAAGAGGGAGTCACAGAACAACCAGAGTTCAATCAGCTCCTGAGGGAACCCTCAGAGAAACCTTTCATTATTGATATGGCAAAACTACAATATATTTACTATACATCCTTTTATGTCCCTATTTCCAACACAGATAGACAGCACTACTCAAAATTACTTCAATATTTCATTATCATCAATAACACTGCCTCACAAAGGCAAATGATAATTACTGTAAAGAGCCAAGCTGAAACTGGTTCTCACCAGATATAAAACAACTTCTTGTAAATCTGTTACATTTCCAAATTCTACATTCGCCATTTGAAAGCCGAACTGTCACACATTTGAGTCTCATTAAACACTGGATGTGTGTTGTATTTCAGTGCTAAAATATTCCTTCTGATGTGCTACAAACTTCCATTTCCACTAGCAAAACTAGATGTGTCATGGCAGCCTCATCTGCTTAATATTTAATGGCTGGGCAATGTAGAACTGGGTGAGAGGGAATGGTGGGTAATATTGCTGGCACAACAGCAGAGACTGGATATTGGAGTAGTATCCCTGCTTTTAAGGAGAACATGTGGATGTAATTGAAACCACTGGCCAGCAGCCAGTGTGGAACAGTGGTCAGGGCTTAGATGTGCCTGAGGATATTGCTGATGCTGAGGCCAATCAGAATCACTTTCATTAGATATGACAGATGGTGTTAGACTGTACGCATATTGCAGGCAATTTTCTATGAATAACTGCTCAAATGGTATGTGCAAATAAGTTGGACACTCCCACATTTTAAGGTTTAAGTAATTAAATAACCTGAATCGCTCATAAATCACTTGTTTTTCTCCTGCGCGAATCGGTTCAGTGAATGATTCAATGACTCTCTTGTAAAGACACTTGTCAACACCTACTGCTGTAACTATGTAACCTGGAGAAAGATTCATAAAAAGTCCAATCAAATTAGAACTGAACTATATTTTTTAAATTAGTTTATAGGACTCCTAAAATATTTCCCCTAGTTTATCTTGGTCAAGAAAAAGACGAATGGCTTTTAATAAATCAAGTCCTGTGAGATTCATTCTGTCAAGATCATATCAATGTCATCATACACTCTTTTCTCACAGCCATTTCTTTTACCCTTGGTCTTTTTTCTTATTCATGAGGAGGGTAGCACAGGGGAGACTGAGCGAGAGGTTCATTTGTAAGGCAGACTGATGCAGTAATTCACCTGCTCATGAACAAATGTGAAAAAGGTAAGTTTGTTCAGACATGACACATGCTTGAATGATGTGAAGAGAATTACTTAAATCAGAGACTCATCAGTGTGCTGTTCGCAGAGCCAGAGAGATTGTTTTGTCCTTCTGAGGGTTATTTCTAGTTCAGCTTAGCCAGTACAAGGGATAAACATTGCATTTAAAATTTGTTAGAAGACCTTAAGAATCTGTTTGAATTAATTTACACTTGAAAGGTTGGTACAGCTATGTTGACAGTTTGTAGATATGGCACTCACCAATGTCCCAGGAACCAGGGCTGTTGTTCTCAATCTCGCTGCGGCCGATGATATACCAGACACAGGCCATCCAATGTGCCAGCAAGGCGAACATGGACATAAGTAATGTGAGTACCACTGCGCTGTACTGGGAGTAGCGCTCCAGCTTTTGCAGCAAGCGTAGAAGCCGTAACAATCGAACTGTTTTCAGCAGATGAACTCCAAAGTACTAAACAAACAGATATTGAATGCATAGCTTAAATAGCATAATAATTTAAGATGGCATGCCCAACACATGAAATGTGGTCTCCCACAAAGCTCTGTGTGAGGGCCGTTAACACCTCTAAAAACAAAAATAGGTTTATAAGGTTGTGAATAAACAGTTGACATAAAATTATCTTCAAAATAAGCAAACTTAACACTTACCACACTGACATTGAAGGCGTACAACAGGTCAAAAGGTAGCGCAGCAATCAGGTCCACAAAGAGCCAGGTGGTGACATAATGCACACAGATAGAGCGCGCATCATACACCACCTGGCCTGATGTGCTCACAAATGTGGTGCGAAAGTTTAACACAATATCTGTCAAAGGGATATAAAGAAAAAAATTATTTTAGAAAACTTAGAAGACACAGATATTTATTTGTTACTATATCACAGAAAACTCTATTTTATTCATTACCTGGTTCAGTGACAGGTTATAAAAGTTTGTTCTGGGTTTTATTGACAATAATGCTATTTAATGTAAGCTGCAATTACAGCAAATAGCACTTCAAAAGTTCAGTAAATGGCTTTGGGAACTATAGCACAGAAAAGCAGCTAAAAGCAACTTTTTATGTAGGAGCTTTTTTGCAAAAGTTTTGATGACACAAATAGTTGCTCTGTATTATGAAATTGTGTGTAATGAGCAGTAACAGATTCTGTCATTGAACACTACTGCTCTTAAGCAGTGCTTAATAACTCTTATGTTTTGTCTAATGGGTTTGTATATAAGTATATTCTTCACTGTATCCTTCAACAGTTAAAGACAGGAATCTGACTTTACTAATAAATTAATTAATTTGACAGTGGGCCTTCAGTGAGTTATTTCTGCACTATAAAACATCTTTAGCTTTGCTATTTGCTGAACCGTCCTTCAAAATCGTTTTAGTTTTGTCTCGTGATTTTGAAGCTTTAGAAATGCTAGATGCATTTTGTGACTTTGCTGAGTAACATCTAGAACTTTTTTCCAGCTCTGAGTAATTGATATATCTGGCCATATATTACCTCTGTGACATAAAAGACTGACTCAGAAATATATACGTACACCTGAAAAATAATAGAACGGTGTGCTACGAATCGGGGTACTTTATTAGCAGGCATTGGTATCAAAAGACATTTAATATCACCCAGGTAACATTATTGAGACAGAACTTCTTTTTTGCCAAACTAATGACATAGTAAAAAAAAAAACAATAGGACTGTAGGTTGAGCCTTACCTAACATAAAAAGGATTTCTACCAAGATGTCGCTCACACTCGGTGGATTTCTAGGGGTCGTCAACTCATCCCGCCCACCGACGACGGTGAAACAGACATTGTAGGGCACTGTAACTGCTACATAAAAGGTGGCTAACAAGATCAGCCAATCCCAGCCAGCTTTGAAGGTGCCGTAATGGAGAAGAATGAAACGGCTCTTCTGAATGGCTGCCACTTTGTACTCTGGGATGGGCGGCTTCTCACCGAACATGTTCTAAATGATAGCAATGTTCAGAAATGTTTATTTGATTTTTTCGTTTATTTTCAAGATTTTAATAAACGGTGCAGACCACTGTGAATTAAAGAGCTAATCCAACTCATTTTAGAAGAAGCAGTAAATAAATTTGTCTCATTGCTGGACACAGCATATTGTTATATATTTATCTTTACAAGGTCATTTTTGTATTTCCTTTGTATTTCCTTCAATAATGTTTCTACTTGAACTATTCTTAAGTTCTTAGGTCTAAATTATAAGAATATGAGTGTCTAACTGGGTCTTACATTGTTGATCTTGAGTTTGCTCTTGTCTTGCTTTTGCAGGTGTCCAGACAGCTGGTAAAGCACAGCTCTACTGCGTCGCCGGTTGGCATTGAAGCCTGGTGGCTGCGTGACCTTGTGCACCTCCAGCCCCGTCTCCTCGTCTGAGCAGAGAACAGCCATATATCATTTTAGTTTATTTCATTTCTGAATTGTTTGGCACAACACTAAATAACATCAAGTTATTCCAGAAAAACAAAAAATACTACATGTAGCTTTACTGTGCATCAGTAAAACATAAGCACAGATTTCCACCATTACTTCACTTAAGTTATTAGAAAATTCTAGCTTAATTTCTTACCCATAACCATTTGAGTGAATGAACTTAACACTGAAATCACTATTACATTTAGCCATTAGCACTGTCTGCAAAAACAAATTACATTTGCATTCATTTTTTTATCAAGGGTTTGTAAATATGACAAAAGAGAAATGCATCCAATGAAAAACACAGCAAACGAAAAAAAAAGAAGGAAAAACAGTTATTTATTTGAACAATTATGAACACAGATAGATTACATTGTGGGAAATAAGCAACCAAATTTATAATAAACAATTAAAGCCTTTAGAAGCTCTTTGAAAAAGGCGAAATATGCCAATTTAGATTATAATACAGTTTGTGGTTCTTCTCCTTCCCTCTCTAAGGCTATCCGACTTTCATTCTGTCCACTGCACCAGGGGTGTTCAGAGTCATTCTGAAAGGTGGCCTGATTTTGTAGCATACTGACTTTGTAGCCAGAATTTGTTTATAAAGCAACAGTTCACCCTAAAATAAAAATTCATAATTTGTACTCTTTATCTAATGCATTGCCTGTAAGATTTTTCTGTCTTTTTTCTATGGAACACAAAATAGACATTTTGTTTGCTTTTTGTTTTTTCAACAAAAATATCTTAAGCTCCAAAAGGATAAAAAAGTACTATATTTTCAACAATTTTCAGTAAATAATGTCTTCAGTTTCAGTTTGTTCCCCTCAGAAACCTGTAGTATGGCTTTGTAAATTTGTGGAAAAATAGTATATTTCTTTTTGAGGTGAACTATTCATTTAATTTGACTAGGAACAAGAAACAATAAAAATTAAAGGAATAATTGTTTGATTATTACATAATTATTATTTAGTATTATTTATTTTCAGTACACTGCTGTTCAAAAGTTGGGGTAGGTAAGACTTTTTTCATTTTATGTTTTTGAAACATTATGCTCACCAAGGCTGTATTTATTTGATTAAAAGAAAAACACAGTAATATTGTGTTTTCTATATGACTTCACACTTTTGGCAATATATAGTATCTGTTTTGTTGAGAAAATAAAATAAGAAAGTAGGGAAAGACATTAAAGTAGATTTGCTCCCTTCTCATATGCTAACATGTTCCCGTCAGGCTATCCTTCACTGAAGTGTTGATTTTAATTGATGACTTTGGTTTACATGACTAATTTGGAGAGAGCCATCTGTCAGCTTCTTGTATAGATGTCTTACAAATCCTCTAATTTATTTCTAGTTCTTTCCAAATCCTCATTCCATCCTTTTTTATTTTATTTATTGGCTTTTTTCCCTTTATCACATAAATCCAACCCTGCTTTTTAAAAGAATATTTGGCGTAGTCAACATAAGACATAAGAATGTAACTCACTTTTTAAATTGATTCCAATTATTCACTTTTAATGAGTTGACATCACTGAGCAGATATATATTATTACTAGTGCCAGTACAATGTTTATCCTTCAGCCAAATGAACAGTAACTGTGCTTTGACTCAAGCTCAGGCCACTAAAGGGAGCTTCTTCCCGGCCCTCCCTGTGCCTTGTGTGCGTCTTTTCTTCTCTCTCTTTATCAGTGTACCGTTCCCTCTCTCTCTCTGGGGAGGAGAGGTGTCAGGATTACTGTAACAGCGAGCACCACACGAGATGCTGCTGGTCTGTATCGAAGCATCCAAAACACATGATTCAGTGGCCAAAAATGATGGAGAGGGAATGAGAAACAGAGGATAGGATACTTGCTAAGTATGACATTGACTAGACCAGGTGTTTGAGGTGTGTGTGAATATTAATTGAATTAAGGGAAAATAAGAATAATCATCTCGTAATTGTCAGGATTATGGACTATTCTGTGTGTGTTTTTGCCCCTGTGACCCAGTTTCTTCCTCATGTTGATTGTGTTAATTTGATTCCAGGTGTGTCTCGTTCCTAAAAGCCCTAGTCCTTTCAGTTCTTGTTTGTCGGTTCTACTTGTTGAATGTCCTCCTTGTTCTCGGTTTTCCTGTGGATTATTAAAGACTGTGTTATTCAAGTACTCCTCGTTTCCTCGTTCCTTGCTCCCCGAGTGAATTGT